TATTTTATCATACATATGGCCTGTAATTCTTTATCCATTTTGCTGTTGATGGGTGTTTAGGTTGCTTCCAGTTTGGGATGATTATGTGTGATGCTGTTAAGAATATTTTTGTACATGTCTCCTGTGTAGATGGTGGTTTTCAAAGTGTGGTCCTTGGACTAACAACATCAGTATAGTCTGAGAATTTCTTTCTTTTTAAATTAAATTTAGTTAATTTATTGTTTAGACAGAGTCTCACTATGTAGCCTAGACTGGCCTCCAACTCATGGTGATCCTCCTGCTTTAGCCTCTAGAGTGCTGGGATGACAGGCATGCACCACCACTCCCAGCGTCACCTGAGAATTTCTTAGAAAGGTAGCCTCAGGTTCCAGACCTACGGAATCAGCAACTCAGAAGATCAGTCTCAATAATCTGACTTTAACAATCTCTCCAGGTGATTATAAGGCATGCTGAGAACCATGGCTCTAGGCTCTACACCTGTGAGTTGAATTGATGAACCACAGGCATATGTATGTTCAACTTTAATAACTAATATCACACTGTTTTCTAAGTTAATTGCGCCAATTTTTATACTCAGACCAACATCATATAAGAGTTTCAGCTGAAACACTTTTCAGTACTTGGTAAGTTTTTTTTTTAAGCAGCAATTCTGTTGGGGCATAATGGTATATCATTATTTTAATCTGCATTTCTTCGGTGATTTATTATTTTGAGTAACTTTTGTTAAGTTTTTATAGATCATTTTCAAAGTGCCTGTTCAAGTCTCTTGCCCGTTTTTCTGTTGGTGTGCGTGTGTGTATGTGTGTGTTGTGTGTGGTACTGGGGATTGAATCTGTGGTAGGCAAATATTCTACCACAGAGCTACATCTCCAGCCATTCATTTGTTTACTTACTTATTTTTACGGGTTTTTTTTTTTTTTTTTTGGTACCAGGCATCGAACTCGGGTCCTTGTGGTTCCAAGGCAGGCGGCAGAACCACTGAGCTAAAACCCCGGCCTACTTACTTATTTTTATTTTGAGACAGGGTGTCACTAAGTTGCCCAGGGTGGCCTGGAACTTGTGATCATCTTGCCTCAGCCTCCAAATAACTGGGATAACAGGAGTGTGCCACCTTGTCTGGCTCTGTTTTTTTTTTTTTTTTTTTTTGAGACAGGATCTCTCTGTAGCTCATGTTGGCCTCAAACTCACTGTGTAGCCCTGGCTGGCCTTGAACTCACAGTGCTCAGGCTGACCTCCTGCCTCAGCCTCCTGAGTGCTGGGATTACAGTCGTGTACCACCACACCTGGCTCTCTGAGGGTTTTAAAGAATATTTTTCTATTGATTTGTAGGATTCTTTAAATATTCTGACACAAGATCTTTGTAGATCTATGAGCAGCAAATATATTTTCTAGCATATGTTTTCCCTTTCATTCTCTTAATCTTATCTTTGCTGATCAGATATTCTTAATGTATCAAATACACTAGATTTTCCTTTACTTTAGCGCTTTTGTTTGTTTCCCTTTTAAGAAATCTTTTCTAACCCTGAGTTCATGAAGATTTTCTGATATCTTGTAAATACTTCATTGCTCTACTTCTTTACATTGGCATATAATTCAACTGAATTTTATTTTTGTGTATGTTGTAAGTTGTGCTGGTTCAGCCTAATTGTCAACTTGATTGGCTTGGAAGCTGTGTAGGGAATTACAATAGTAAAATATACTTCTGGGTGTGTTTGAGTAGGTCATGAAGGCCTGACTTTGGGGATTATATCTGGTCTCTGGCCCCTTCCTATCTGGTGCTATTCTGCTGATCTGCCTCCTAGCTTCCTTGAACTAAGTAGTTTACTCCATCATTCCCCTCCACCATGATGTTCCTACTTTGAAGCCAGCTGACTATGGACTGAATCTTCTGAAATCATGAGCCAAATTAAACCTCTTCCTTTGAGTTACGGGTACTGGGTATTTTGACCAGCAATGGGAAAGCTCTTTAATACAGCCTTCATCTTCTAACCCTTTCTATCATCTTTCCTCTATGCATATCTGTCTCCAAATTTTCCCTTCTTATAAGGATATCAGTTACTTTGGAATGAGATCCATGCTAATGATCTCATCTTAAATTACATCTGCAACAGCCTTATTTCCAAATAAGGTCACATTCTGATGAACAAGATATTCGAATTTCAACATATCAATGTTGGAGGGGACAGAATTCAATCTGTAATGATTACCAAGGCCTCTGAACTCATCCTTCATGATATCTCCATCGGTGTCCTCTTTCACTCACATTCAAGTCTTTGTGTGGCATAGCCCATCATTACTACACAATTCCCATCCTTCTTCTGTTCCCTGACCAAAGCCCTTTTGCAGAAGTGTGAGAATACTCTTTTTTTTTTTTTTGGTACCGGGGATCGAATTCAGGTCTTTGCACTTGCATAGCAGGTGGCGAAACCACTGAGCTAAATCCCCGGCCCCAAGAGAATACACTTAAGCACAGCTTTCACAGTCACTGCTTTGCTCTAAAACCATTGATGGCTCCTCATTGTCTGTCAAGTATGATCCAAATCATGCAGCATGATCCTCTACACTATGAACTAAACCTACTTTCCTTTTAAAAGCTGCCATTTTTTCTACCCATTTCTTCTGCCCCAGAATTATCAGAGTATTTAATTTTTCCTATACCTTTTATCTTTCCAACCTTCACTACTTCACTCTGGGGATGGAGCATTAGGAGGGTCAGTTGATGGACTCAAGAGGAGAACTTAGATTTTGGGGGTAAGGTTGACCAAGTGAGCCAGGTGTGGTGGCCCATCCCTGTAACCCCACCACTCAGTAGAACAAGGCAGGAGTGTCAAGGTCAGCCTGAACTACGCAGTGAGACCATGTCTCAAAAAACTAAAAGAAATAAAAAGATTGACAAAGTGCTTTGATGACAGGTTACTTACACGAAGAGAGAATGGCACATACAAAGGCCCAGGAACACAAGCCAGCTGGACACATTTTGAGAAACACAATTAGGAGCGAATTGCTGGAGCAAATAGAATGACAGAATGGGGACAAGCACCATAGCCCTGAAAGGTTTGATGAGATAATCAAGAATCTGAGTGCTCTGTGGACCAGATAAATGGTGTGGGCTTTTCTCTATTAACAAATAATTAGAAATTGATCAGAGCAAAACTCCACACGGCAAACACTTTTATCTTATTCACAATTTTATTTCCAGGGCTTAGAAGTGTGTCTAGCATGTCATAGGTTTATTTTGGGTTGACCCAAAGAAGATAAGAAGTTGGGCATAGATCATTTATGTGAGAGGTGGTCCCAGAATTCTCAAATGAGGGACAGAAAAAGTCAATGTATTAAGGAAGGGAAGTCAGTAATATTAAGTACACTGTTGGACAGGTTACACTGTAGACAGCTGGGCTGAAAATCATCGGGCATCCTCTGAAGAGACAGATTGAATATCTCTCAGAATTGTCCACTGAGATTTGGAGGAATCTGGGATATTTTTGTACTAATGTTAGTCTTTGACTGGTTGAGAGTTGCCTTTGGGGACATTAAACCTTAGGCACTTCAGGACTTTCTGGAGTACAGGGAGGCACATTCCCTAGCTTTCCAGAAACCCAGCAGGATGAGGAGCAGAGTTCCAGGGCTTGAGGGGGGAAGGTGTCAGCAGGTACAGAAACTGTCCACCTGTCACTGTAGGTGGAAGGCGATATGGGCCATGAGATGTCATTACATATCCTCCCAGCAGATACCTGCATGAAGCTATAGCATACACAGCTTATTTCCCTGACTACTCTTAAAGGTCTTGGAAAGTAGAAACCAAATATACTCATAAAGGCCAGACACAATGAAGCACAGGTATATTGATCAGCTTTCCATTGCTGGGACACAATACCTGACATACACAACTTGAAAGAGAAAGTTTATTTTGGCTCATGGTTTCAGTCCATGGTTGACCGGCTTCAAGGCAAAACCTCTTGGCAGAAAGGCAAGGGAGGAAAGCCTCTTAACTCATGGTGTCTAGAAATCAAAGAGCAGGGGATGAGCCAGAGACAAAGGAGCCAGCGACTAGATAAAATCTCCAAGGTCACACCCCCAGGAGCCACCCAGACATGCACAGAAATGTGCTTTGCTAGTCTCCTAGGTATCTCTCAAGGCAATCAAGTTGACCATCAAGATGAACTACCACAACAGGATTTGAGAATGAACAAGAAAGAAAGGTATAAGGGGGAAACATGGATGAATGACAATGATTAATTAATTTGATGACAAATTGGAACAAATGAATATGACTGTTCTTGCCATGTTGGGTTTAGTTGTGTCCTTGAACACAAGTAAAAGGGTGAGGGATAGCACAGGGGAATTACTGAGAGTCTGTGTACCAAGAGCTAGTTACATCTATCTGGGCTGCTTAATTGGGTAAGATGTGGTGTGGTCACATCCTAATTCCTTGCAGTGACTCAATCTTGATACCTGCCTGTTTGTACACACTTATGCATTTCTTTGTTTCCCCCCTGGTACCAGGGATCAAACTCAGGACCTTATGATTGCAAGGCAGGCGCAGCACCACTGAGCTACATTCCCAGCCCACACTTATGCATTTCTAATGAGTGTGAAAAGGCTCTGGGAAGAATAAAGCTCAGCAACCAAACAAAGCATTCTGGTATTTGGTTGGGTTGAAAATGGGTAGCTGTATTTTCTTCTTCCAGTGCTCACTTCAGCAGCACATATACTTTAAAAAAAAAAAAAAAAAAAAAAAAAGATTTTCTGCTACTAAAGGCAAACCAGCAAGAGCCACCAACAAGTGGGAGTACACTTTGAACACAGCACTGCTCTGCTCCGCTGATCCTCAGGGACACAATAGGTGTGATCGTCTTGACAGACTTTAATGCTGAAGGTGGACTCTCATAAAACATCAGCAACTAGGCTGCTCTGGCATGGAGGATAGAGGGAATGACTAGAGGCAAATATGGAGTCCTCTCCCCATAAAATGAAAAGATGGGCAAACGACCACACTGCGGCTGGGGTACGGGTGGGGGAGGCTGCTATTCCAGCTATGGTACCCTCTTACATCTCCACTTCAGGAATGGCCAATGGAAGGAAAACAGGACAGAAACCAGCCTTCCACCGACACTGAAATCTGTGTCCTCCTCATTGCCACTGTCTGACTAACTTCAGGCCCCACCTAGGCCATCTCCAGACAAGCTCACAGAAAGTGTTTGCCTGAAAATCCATTTTAATGAACCAGATTTGAGTCATCCAAGAACTGCCCCCACTGAAAGACAATGAGGAGGGCATTGGGGGAGGAAGGCTTCTCACAAGAAGGTCTCAATCAGCGACAAGGTTTCGGCCCACAGTGGTGAATGGCCCAGACAAGCCCTAAAAAAGAAGAAAGGCATTTGGAGTCAGGATGGCGGGAGGTGGCTGTTCCCTCATCTGCCCCCTTCCTCAAATCTTTCATAACTGCCTGATTTGAGGAAGCCTTCCACACAGTGACTCCGCCCTCTGATTGACAGCCTGGTCCCTTGGCTCCCGTATACAGTTCCTCCACCCGCTGGGATTTTTCCTTGGCATGGAGAATGGCTGTGGCTTTTTTGCACAACAGTAAGCAGTCCCCCACAGAAAGGTCTCTGTCTCTCAGCTCTGATTCCATCACCCCAGCAACCAATCCAGGTTTCGGAAGCCCAGCAGCCACCTTAGGGAAGGGGAGCCTGTTCCTTGGAAAGCAAGAGGGACTAGGACCTTCTGAGGTGCAGGCGGCCACTAAATGGAGGGTATGTCCCGTTCCACTGCCACCAACCAAATCCAAGCCACCTGTAATCTGTGAGCCTCTTTATAGTCAGTCCTGGGTCCATTTCTCCAATCTCATCTTCTCCCACTGACTTTGCTGTCCGTTCTTCTTACTTGCCCTGGCACACTTGTCTCAGGACATGAGTGATTGCAATGCTGTCTGCCCAGGATGCCCTTCCTCTAAGTCCGCCTCTGGCTATCACCTTCTTACACTTTGGGTCTTAGCCCCACCCCCAAGACTTTTTTCAATGTGAAGAAGATTGATTTCTGGAATAGAAAAGACTCTTCTCCTCATTGTTATTGCCGCAGTACCCATTCCCATTTTCATCCCTAACTCCCTCACTTAAACAAGTCCTCGATGATTCCGCCCTCCCGCGAGAAATCAAGCTCCTCACCTTGGCAGTGTTGGTCACCTCTTGTTTCAGGGTCTTTGAAACCACTTTACAGGTAAAGCACTGGTCTCTGTTCACCCTGGGCATTGGGCTCTGGGAAGGGGAAAGCCAAGAGTCAGGAAGGAGGCAGAAAAGAATGAGAGGGAAGGGCCAGGGATTTAGCTCAGTGGTTCTGGCACCTGCCGCGCAAGCTCAAGGTCCCAAGTTCGATCCCCGGTACAAAAAAAAAAGAAAAAAAAGAATGAGAGGGAAAACAATGAGCTACAAAGTCAGGACTTTACAGTTCTTGGGAAGACACGTGAGTCTCACCGTAGGGAATAAGAGTTGAAGTTTCTCCTCTTGCTTGCCCCTGGAAGAGACAGGGATGACAAGTGGGGCCTATGCTTTCTAACCTCCCCCACACAGGTTTAATAAATGTATCATAGATCGTTCCCTGCTGATCCCAGATAGGACCTTTGAAGCGTTCTCTGTATAGCGCTCCTGGTAGCAACTAATTGTAGTACTCATTCCTTTCCTGTTCTGTCTGCCAGAGAATACAGGCCAATCACAGGCTCACACACCTCACTCCAGTGGTTCTAGCAGGGAAAATTGCCTTCCCACCCTTCAGGCATGGATCTTGGAGGTGGAGTCTGCTCATGTGCTCCATATTTTGGGTCATCAGGTCCTGAATGATGTCATTCTTCCAAAACAGGCCTGTAGGATGAAAGAATAGAGTGAGTTGACACCTGAGACACTCTGTCCCACTCCAGGGACCAGAGTGACTTCTTGCTCAAGTGCACAAAACATCATATTTTGTGGAGATAATTAAATGAGATGATGTATAAAAGTTGCTTAGCATAGTGCTTGGCATGTCATATTCAATAAGCATGATGGTTATAGTTTCTGCTGATTCATTTGATGGTACAGTAAGGATTAAATGAGGTTAGAGATGCAAAGTGCTTAGAAAACTCTGAGGCAGCAATTCTTAAGCTCCAGTGTGCATTAGAATATTTTGGAAAGCTTGTTGAAACACAGATTGCTGTTCCCCATAACCAGAGTTTCTGACTCAGTAGGTCTGCAGTAAAGATTAAGAATTAATATTTCTAACAAGTTCTTTGTTGACATTGATGTTGTTGGTTGGGGAAGTACTTTGAGAATTACTGTTCTAAGGCACTGTACACATATTAGGCTTTAGAAGTAGTAATATGATCTCAAGGCAGATTTTCTATCTGAGTCTCCCCCTCATTCACGAAACTCTGCTCTAAGGAAGGTTCAGCCATCTGTCTCCAATAGACTCTCCACTCCCTTTTACTCCTCCCTTCTGTTTGTCATACAGTTTTCCCAGCTTCCTACTCAGAGGCTGAGATTTGTACATATTCTTTTGGCTGAGAACTTAATTAGTTCCTGCTCTGAAAACAATCAGTAGTGCCAGGGGTTGGGATTAACCCCAAGGAGTTGGATGCTGGCCTTGTCCAGGAGTTTCTTCTAGAAGCTTCTGCTGGGCTCTTCCAGGGTGTTCAAGGCAAACAGCCCACCTAGCCTCTAAAACCACTCCTCTCTTGCCCTTTCTCCACTTGGGTGAGTGTGACAAGAAAGTTTTAAGTAGAAGTATTTGGAGAAGAGAAAAACTGTCCTCAGAACAGACAACTCCTCACAACCATCTTCTCTTGGCCAGGCCCCAACCACTGTTCTTCAGCTTTTAGTTACCTTGGGGTACAAGCTGGTGGAGTAGAACTTGGAGGTGACGGAAGAATGGAGCAGTAAATTCTTGGAGGGGCCAGAGCTGTGCCACTTCTGCTTGGCACTGGCCATCTAAGGACAAAATAGTGGTGTCAGAAAAGACCTTGACCAGAAGAAGCCTTCCATGTACCAGTTGAAGAGAATCAGCTAACTTCCCTCCACTGTCACTTCTGGATTCCTTGGTACTAGGCTCCTTCCTCATCTTTAAATCCTCCTTTCTTCTTCCCCCATTATCACTTGCCTTGCCCTTCAGCCTCTGGACCTCATTCACTCATCAACTTTCAGGAAAGAACCAACCTTGGGTGAGCAGCAGCTCAGAAAGCTATCCACATGGGATGGATAATCAGAAGGAGAGGTGGAGCACTGCGAAGCAGGTAAGCTGTATTTTAGGGAAGTCTTTGAAGCCAGGAGGGGTTGTGGAGAACTGGAATCCTCCGAAAGAGAAAGCACCATCTCCTCAGTATCTTCAGGGGATTGGTTCCAGGACTGCCCACCCCATACCAAAATCCAAGGTGCTCACGTCCCATATAGAAAATGGCTTAGTTAGTAATTTGCATATTACCTATGAACATTCTCCCATATACTTTAAGTCATCTCTTGATTTTTTATAATACCTAACACAATATAAATCACCGTAGTTATTTCACTGTGTTGTTTAGGAAACAATGACAAGGGAAAAAAGGCTGTACATATTTAATACAGACAGATATTTTTGATCTTTAGTTTATTGAACTGAAGAAGCAGAACTCCCTTGTGTGGAACCGTGGGCACACAGGGCTGACTGTACTGTTATTATAAGGCTTGAGGGTCTGGGTGGTTCTACTGTAAGCCACAGTTTTCCCTGCTGCACATAGGGAAGAGCAGGGTCAAGGGAGATAGGCCCTAATGTGAAGAAAGTACACCTTCCCTGTTCCGTATAGATGGAGCTGGACTGGAGGAGAGCATTTTTTTTCTACAGTGGGGATTACCACTTGTCATTCGGGTCAGGTCTTAAGAAGCAGGAATTCTCCCTAGTCAAGTGAACAATTTTCGGGCTTCGGGAAGGAGTGGGAGCTCCAGTCTCTACTGAGAAGGGAAAGAGCTTCGGGAAGGGGAGGTAGTCCTGAGGCAGCGCTCCTAGAGGGGCGCCTGCGCCGCTGGGCAAGGATGCGCAGCGCGGCGGGCGATGTCCGTGGTGCTGAGCGCGCTTGGCGCTGCCACCAGGCTCGGCGGTGCTCTCCCCCGCACCCTCCTCATATCCGCCCACAATTCTTTGCGAATCCTCTGCATTGGCCTCTACACCCAAGAATCCGGTGGAGACAGTAGGCGTCAGAGCCGGAGTTTGCGCTTAGCACCTCCAACGGTGGGCGTAGGAACTTGCGAGCCTGCGCAGTTCAGAAGTGAGTCAGCGCCGGGTTAAGCCTGGATGGCGCGGAGCAGAGAGGAAGGAGAAAGGACGATTCCTTCCCACTCCATTCTTCTGTTTTCCTCAAGCCTAGCACTCCCCTCCTTATCGGAAATCGGGTCACAGTTACCAGGATCTCAGCTTATGACTAAGCTTCCTCTTCCCTCCTGCCAGGACCCAGATTCTGAAAGACTACCGTTCCTGGTCCCTTGCCCATCCCCAGCCGTGGTCATCTCTTCCCTGGACCCTCAGTGCACCTGGTTTCTCCCGTGGCCGCCTTCTGCCCATTCGTCTCCCCGGCCTCCTCCCGAATCCCCAGTCTTGCCCTGCCCCCGCTCTTAGGTCCAGACGACTTATGCCGAGACCTAGGCCTCTTCAAGATGACGTCTGCGCTTATCTCTCCTTATGCCCACCAGCACATTATTTGCCTCCTTAGTCTCCTAGCCTTGAGGCCCCGACTATTCTCTTGTAAATGCTCTCTGACCCTGCCCGCACCCCCCAGATGTCCTTCTGACCGTGGGGACTAATGTCGCTGCAGCACCCCGGGCAGCTGTTCAGCAGCAGGAAACAGAGGAGCAGCCGGAGGCCCCCGGAGGCTTCAGACCCCAGCGGGCGCTGCATCCTCCTGGGATCCTTGCGCTTGCTCTCTCGCCTTAGTCGCAGTGAAAAGTAGCTCCAGAGGCCGGAAGGGCCGTGCGGGCGAACGCTTTAGCAGGGTCTGCAAAGCCCTCCTCTGCAGCGGCCAATAGCGAGCAAGCAGGCGCTGGCCCTGAGGACGCCTCCTCAATTCTTCCTACTTCTCACCACCACCCTCCACCCCGCACCTTTTGAAATTCCTGGCCCTACTCCTTTTTGTCACAAGCCGAGTCCAAGAGACGACCGCATAGACTCCCGGTCCCAAGGTTGGAGAAATGAGCTGCGTGTTTAGATGTGGATGGACATTGTACCTACCTCAAATCTGAATCTGTGTGACAGTTTTGGAAATATGGCCATTTTTACTGTATTGGTTCTTCCTACTCAAGAAAAAAGGATGTCTTTCCATTGTCTGATATCCTCTTCGATCTCCTTTTTCAGAGTACTATAGTTTTCAATGGAAAGGCCTTTTACTTCCCTCATTAGATTGATTCCTAGATATTTCATTTTGGGGGAGGCGGGGTGCTATTGTGAAAGGTATTGTTTCCCTAATTTCTCTCTCAGTGAGTTTCTTATTTGGGTACAGGAAAGCTATTGATTTTTGAGTGTTGACTTTGTATCCAGCTATGCTACTAAATTTGGTTATTAAATCTAGAAGTCTTTTGGTGTAGTTTTTGGGGTCTTATATGTAGAGAATCATATCATCTGCAAATAATGGTAATTTAACTTCTTTTCCTATCCTTATTTTTGCATTTCTTTCTCTTGTCTAATTGCTGTGGCTCATATATCCAGAACTATATTGAAAAAGAGTGATGATAGTGGATATCCTTGTCTTGGTCTTGATTTTAGAGTGAAAGCTTTTGGCTTTTGTCCACTTAGTATGATGTTGGCTGTTGGTTTGTCATAGATGGCTTTTATCTGATTCCAATTTTCTGTAGCATTTTCATGAATGGGTGTTGGAGCTTGTCAAATGCTTTTTCAGCATCTATTGAGATAATCATATGGTTTTTGTCCTTGGCTTTATTGATATAGTGTATTACATTTATTGATTTGCGTATGTTAAACCATCCCTGAATCCCTAGGATGAATCCTACTTGGTCAGGGTGAATAATCTTCTTGATTCACTGCACTCTGTTTGCCAGTATCTTATTGAGGATTTTTACATCTGTGTTCATTAGGGAAATTGGCCTGTAGTTCTCTTTTTTGGTTGGATCCTTCTCTGGGTTTCATATCAGGGTAATACTGGCTTCAGGAGTGAATTTGGGAGTATTTCTTCCCTTTCAATTTTATTAAAGAGTTTGAGAAGTAGCAGCATTAGGTCTTCTCTAAATTTCTTTGAGAATTATAATGTTCCAGGAAAAAAGGGGCTTGTTGGTCTTTAGGTGAGTTGAGTACAAGTAAGTGTTTCCTTCCTCCCATTTAAGATTTCAGTCAACCAGAGGAATAGCTATCAAAATGATACATGTGCATGAGCACTAATAATGCATTTATTCTTGCTACTTATTGAACAAAGATTCTAATGCTGAGAGAAATACCCTCAGAAAACCAAGTAGGTTCTCAGGTCTCTTGAGCCTAAGGTTCACAGGGAGGAATTTTCTTCCCACAAGGGGGAAAAAGACTACCATAAAGTATGACTGGAGGACAGTGGGTAGGGAAGATTGTGGTTCAGCTGAGGTCCTTGCATTCATATTATTAATGACAACTGGGAAGGGGAAGAGATTAGGGACCTTGGCTCCACCAGAACTGAAGAGCTGTGCTATTTCCCCTCATCAAATGCACCCTCTCTACTGCCTTTGAATATCGTACATTAGAAGCTCTGGCTGAGGCCCACTCTTCTGTCTCCAGTGATTTTCTTCTGCATTTTGCATTAAATTCTAGACCTTTTAGTATTACCTGCAAGGCCCTGTAAGTTCAAATAAAGAGTTTTCATGAAAACACACTTTAAAAATCCAGTAGCAGTTTGTCCTGGCACCGCCTACCTGGAGGGACTGGGAGGTAAGGGGGATGGGCAGGGAAGCCTCGATCTGCTACAAAGTCTTTCTCAGAAAAGGAAAATAGCTCAAAGAAGCTCCAAAATTGGATTTGGAATTTGGAATTTGAGCCCCTCTGTAAGATCAGCCCCCATCCCAGTACATAGGAAGCTCTGATAGCAGTCTTGATTTGGACAAATCTTGAGGTGCAGTGACTCAGCAACTGCCTGACAGCAATCTTCCCCTGGGCTCCCAGGTCCTGATCTTCTCATGCTTTCTGATTTTTTCCCTGCCATAGAGCTAGTCAAGGACTCTGAATCTGGAGAAGAATGGCAGACTCTTATTTTCATACTTAGTAGCACCATGACAACCAGTTCTCACTGGGGGATCAGTCAGTGCTAATGATATCACCCCAGCCACCACTCCAGGTGGAGGAAGCCCAGCTGCCATGGTGACAGGAGTCAGAAGCAGTTTCCTTGGAAAGCATGAGGATCTGGAACCCCTCTCCCCCAGCCCCAGCCCCAGCCCCAGCCCCAGCCCCAGCCCTCAGGCTTCTCCAGGTACAGTGGAGGTGCTTGGCTCCACTGTAATTACCAAGTTGAAGTCACTGCAATCTTCTTAGGCCAAGACAGTACTTCCTAAAAGGTCTACGCATTCCACTCTTGCCTCTATGGATACAGTCCACAACAGCGTTAGGGAAGTCCTTTAAAATTATGCAGGAGGGCTGGGGATTTAGCTCAGTGGGTCCAGCACCTGCCTCAAAAGCGCAAGGTTCCGAGTTTGATCCCCGGTACCAAAAGAATAATAATAATAAATAAAATAAAATTATGCAGGATATTACTTAAAATCCCTAGTGATTTTCTCTTGCATTTGTGCATTAAGTTTTGGACCCTTCACTATTACCTCCAAATCTCTGTAAGTTCAGTTCTGGGTACATTTCTCCAACCTCATCTCCCACTACTAGCTATTCTGTTTGATCCCCTAATGTGACATTAGAGGACTGAAAAACAATACAATCACTAAAATAAAATCTCACCGGATGAGCTCAAGGGCAGAATAAGGTTGAGAGAGAAAGAGTTAAGTAACTTGACCACGGATCAATAAAAATGATTCAAATTGAACAACAGAAAGGAAATTGATTGGGGAGAAAGTCAAGAGTCTCAGGAACCTGTGGGCTACTACAAGAGGTCTAACATTCATGTCTTTGGAATTCCAGAAGGAGGGGAGAGTATAGTACACACAGAAGATTTCCAAAATTTGTCCAAGATGTAAACCTATAAGCTAGGCATGGTGGTGCACACTTAAAATCCTAGCACTGTAGAAAGCTGAGGCAGGAAGATTACCAATTCAAGCCAGCCTGTGCAACTTAGCAAATTAAGGAGACTCTGACTTTAAAAAAAGGTTTAAAAACAGGCTGAGGATGTAGCTCAGTATAAGGGCTTTGGGTTCAATCCCCAGAAGCACAAAGAAACAAACAAACAAACAAAACAAAATCTGAAATCAAAACAAAACAAAAAAATCAAACCAACCCTCACCCCCAAAACAGCAGACAGATTCAAGAAGCTCAGTGAACATCAAAAAGGATAAACCCAAAGAAATCCATACCCTGACACATGATGATCCATCGTCTAAAAGCTAAAAACAAAGAAGTCATAAACAACATATCACTTAGGGCAAAGATGATTTGAATGGCTAGATTTTTCTTTGTACACCACAGGGACCAGAAGGAAGTATAGTCACATTTTTAAAGTGGTGGAAGAAAGGAGTTGTCAACCCGGGACTCCATACACGGCAAAAACATGCTTCAGGAATGAAAGTGGAACAAAGATATTGACAGGTTAAGTAAAACTAAGATAATTCATTGCCTGCTGAAACATCAGGAGTGAAGGAAGAGTGTAGGGATGAACGGTCAATAACTGAGTAAATATTGTAGACTGTTTTTCTCCTCATGAGCTATTTAAAATATGCTTGGTTGAAAGCAAAAATCATAGCATTCTCTGATGAAGTTTTCAGTGCATGATGATATAATTGACTGTCCTTGACAGCTACAAATAGCATTAACTGGGGAGGGTAGAGGCTTCTCTGCTAGTAAGGTTTCTACATGTCACTTGCAGTGGTAAAACAGTGATCATAAGTAGGCTGTGAAAAGTTAAGTATGTATATCATAATCCTTACAGCAACCACTGAAAAGAGCTACACAAAGAAATCAAGTAAAAAAACAACGCAATATATACATTGAAATGGAATATTAGAAAGCATTCCAACAATCTAAATGAGGAAAGAGAGGAAAACAAGGAATAAGAGCAAAATAAAAAGAGGAAACAAAGTAAGTATGTAATGATAGATGTAAATCCAAATATACTGATAATTGTGCCTAGTCTAAGCACATCAATTAAAAGAGATACAGATTGACAGAATTGTTTTTTAAAAAAATAACCTAACAGGGGCTGGGGATTTAGCTCAGTGGTTCTGGTGCCTGCCTTGCAAGCGCAAGGTCCCGAGTTCGATCCCCAATACCAAAAAAAAAAAAAAAACCAAACTTCTAAACAACCCATGGGTCAAAAAGAAAGTCTTAAGAGAAGTCAGAAAATATTTTGAACTGAACAAAAATGAAAACATAACATATCAAAATATGTGGGATAGGGCCGAGGATTTAGCTCAGTTGTTATGCCACCTGTCTCACAAGTGCAAGGACCCGAGTTCAATCCCCGATACCAAAAAAATGAAATTATATTAAAAAATGGGGGATGCATTTAAAAGAATGCTTAGCATGAATTCATGGCATTAAATGCTCCAGTTGGAAAAGTCATCGTAAGGAAAAAACTAAAATCCATAAATCAACAAAATTGAGAACAGTAAAAGAGAGGAATCAATGAGGTGGAAAATAATTTTTGAGTATTTTTATGCCCACATTCATTAGGGATGTTGGTCTGCAGTTTCCTTTTCTTGTGCTGTCTCTTCCTCTTTGGTATCAAGACAATGCTGACTTCACAGAGTGGGTTGGGAAGTATTCTCTCCTCTTGTATTTTTTGGAAGAGATTATGTAGAATTGTTATTTCTTCTTTAAATACTTGGTAGAATTTGTCAATAAAACCATCCCAGCCTAGAAATTACTGTTTTGGGAAGGGCTTTAAATATGAATTTGATT